AGGAAGACCGTGTGGTCAGATACATCCCAGTCAAGGCTGTAGCACAGTGGGATCCTGGGGCAGAGGCAGAGCAAGGACTGGGCTCTAATGGAAAGCCAGTGTGGCTGAACTGTAGAGTGGAGAAAGCAAGGCTACAGAGCAGGAGCCAGGTAAGAACAGAGGCCGTGGGGGTGAGGGAGTCCATCGTGAAAACCCTTCACTATGCAAAAGGGGGTGGTCCTCATCCAGATGTAACTGGAAGCCTCTGAGATCTCTTAGGCTGGCAGCAGTAGGAGAAACAGCATCTGTACAGTTCAGTAGGCTGTATGTCATGAACTAACTGGGGGCCTGGCTGGTGTAGGGGACACAGTATAGGCTAAGGCATAGTGGTGACTGTGGCTCATACAGAGGTAACAGAGGGGAGTTTATGGGCTCAAAAGCTGCTTGGAGTTCCTACAGAGGAATTCTTGGGTGGGGGTAAGAGAGGTAGGATCAGGGAGCCTGCTGGATTGGAGCAGTACTAAAGGAACTTGTGTTATTCTCTGAGGAAGATGTGCTGGCAAAGGGCTCCATCAAACATTGTGGGAATAACCTTCCTTGATCCTCACGACAGGGCACAGGTTGTCTGTTGTCACTGACATAGAGGAAGGAAGTGCAAAGTTCAAGGCTGCCTCCAAAGGGCACAGTCTGCTTCTGGCCTGTGCTCTACCGACTGGCCCCCTTCCCTGGGTTCTCAGGGCTGGACCACACATCTGCAAAGGGACAAACGGATGGTTTGAGAACAGTGACACATGGCACACTCTGGAGGCTTAGTGTGACTTCGTTAGTGCTCAGATGTATTTTCAGATGTATGCCAGGTACACAGGCAGCAAGGACCCCAGAAGCCAGTGTCCCATTGCAGAAGCATTGCATTCTGCTCATGGGAAGCCAATGGCTTCCCCCAGGCCTAGGGTCTTCTTGCCAGGTAGAGAGGCCAGCTTGCTTTTTCATGCACAACCTCTCTTTCGTTCATTCCTTTTAAATACTGGCTGCTTAATTTTCTGTATTAGAATCCGAAAACAAAGACTAAACTCACAAAGGGAAATGGACATGTCTCATTATTTCCCTCTTGATCTGAGATTTAATAGAGCAGCAATTCTGTACTGTTTGAAGTGGAGCATGTTATCTTTCCGTGGCTCCAGGCTCTAGGGAATATCAGGCTCCCTGACAGCCAGGCATGCTTCAAGCATGTGAATATGGCCTGGTGATGCCTGGGACTCACCGTAGCTTCTATCAGTGGTGGCTGTAGCTTGGCAGACCAATAGGGTGTATCCCATCCTGCCACTTTTCTGATCCCCTACACAAAACTCTCAAAAGCAATGAGTCAGGGAGACAAACTCCAAGAAAGTGCTCACTGTCACCCTTTCTACCTGAAGTAGGATGGGAGTGGCTTTCTCTCTACCTGAATACCCACAGTCGTCCCGGTTCAAACCTAAGGAGCTGAGTTCTCTGCTGTGGAGAAGCGGAGATTCCACACCCCAGAATGGATGGGCCATCTGCCCCTCTTTCCTCCTCCTATACCTGACTGGAACACACCTGACATCTTCAGCCTCACCTATGGAGGGCGACTGCACGCCACATCTGAGTGAAGGACAGGACAGTTATTTCCTTGTTTCCCCACCCAATCCCTGGCCCCACAGCATGGATGCACCAACCATCAGACGGTTTAACAGGACAAGTGTACCCCACCCTTCAAAACCCCATTTAGAGGCCAGTAAGATGACTCAGTCAGTAAAGGCACGTACTGCCAAGCCTGATGACTTTGAGTTCAGTCCCCAGAACCCACATGGTAGAAGGTGAAGTTGTCCTCTGACCTCCCCACACAGTAAATAAGTGTTAAAATGTTTTCTTTGTACATCTCACTAAACCTCCCCGCCCCCGACACAAACACTTGGTACAACTGAGCCACCCTTAACTTTGGTATGGTCACTTCTGGGAAAGCCCCAATGGATCATCAGGTTCACAGTACTACCTGGCCCTGCCTGTCCATGCGTCTCATCCAACAACCTGTGCTCTGTTCCAAGGGTATCCCATCCTCAGTGGGCACAAGGACAAGCAAATTTTGCTGAGCAAATATTCTATCATTTGAGCCACTTTCCTGGTCCCTAATCTCACTTTAAATGATCATCCATGACTGTTAGACACTACATCAAATGATGCTTGAGGAGAATCTCATAGGCTTTTAGAGCAGGATGCAACAGGCGCCACTACTAAGAGTGCCAGGTGTCGGCTGAGTGCCTATATATACTGCTTGTTTTCCATGTGAATCTCAAGTTAATCTCCAAAATGATGAATGGCGAATGTCTTAGACATAAGAACATCTGAGGTTTGGACCAGCTTGGGTAGCCTCACCCAAGGGATCACCCTAGCTTGCCCCAATCAAAGCCTGTGTCCCAGCATCATGACCCACTGACTGCAGGAACCAAGATCAGGGTTACAAGGACATCAAGTTGGTGGCTGAGTGTTGAGTGGTGTAGGATGGTCTACCACCAAGGGCCTCCACCATGCACTAGCAGAGAGAGACCCATGGGGGGGGCCTCTACGGAACAAATATTTGTGTCCCCTAAACCTATATTCTGATGCCCACACACAGTAGTATACTTGGAGGCATGGTCTTTGGGGTTAGTTAGAGGCAGCCACAGGGTTGGGCCCATAGGATGGGGCTGGAATCTTCATAAGAGGAGGAAGCACCAGAGCTCTGTCATCTATCAAATGGGAATATTCTAGAAGGCAGCCATCCATCAGCCTTTCAGGCCTCCAGCACTATAGAAAGCAGCTCCTGTAGCTTCAGTCATCACATCAAACTGATCTGACCTAGATAGGGCCTGATGCTGCACTGTCCCCCTCCCCCTAGGGACAGTGACCATTAGGCTGCCAGGGGGTTTACAGGGTGCTAGTGGAGGCTGCTAGGCTGAGAGAGAACTCAGGACAGAATCAGAATGGCCAAGAACCAGTGTTGGGGCATGTGTGAGTGTGTCCCAGCTACCTCCCTGTCCCCAGGGGACCCAGCTCTCAGAATCAGTCTGTGCTGTGTCACTGGCCAGCTACTTCGAGCCTTCAGCCATGTCCTAGGTCCCTGCCAGAACAGAACCAGCCCTCTGTTGCTGATGGTAGCATGGGGCACCTGGGGGAGGGGGGAAGGGCTTGATTTTTCTGCTGAGCTCTGGAAGATGACCCCACTTAGTGGCTCTAAGCTGAGCAGTCTGCAGGATCTTGGAGTCTGGTTGCTCAGTGTCTTCACAGGGATCATGTCACACACATCACGCACCTCCTCCACACGCTGTTGCTGGGGTCACTGTACCTGCCACACATGGTTGCTCTGGTATTTTCATCACACCTGATTTTCAAGAGCATGGTCTCATTCAACAGCCTTGGGAGAGCAGAGCATAGGAACCTCTGGCCTCTCTGAGGCCTACATCAGAGGTGGTGGCCCCAAGTCTAGGAGATGAGCTGCCAATCCCTGGAGAGGCTTACTATCCCCAGCCTGTAAACATTCCAAAGGCAGGGCTGACACTTTGGTAGCTGCCTCTCCCTTCAAAAGGCCCAGAGAGCTGAAAGCACCCCCAGGGAGCACCTCCTAGGAGCAATGGGTAGCTCTGAGAGGACCCTCCCTTATGTGCTTGACCACAGACACTGCAAACCTAGCACTTTCCCAGGAGCCAGTAAGGAACTTACTGGAACCTTACCGTAAGGTGCTACCTGGAACCTGATAAGGGACCTTCCTGCCAGCTCAAAGAGGCAAGGCCTTAGAGGAGATTCCACTTCGTTCAGAAAACTAGAGATGTGACTTTGGATGTTGGCCAATCCATGCCCACACACGAAGGCATCATTGCTTCCCTTCTGAGTGTGCCGGCTCCCGCCATTCCTGCAGAGCCCAGGCTCGGCTGCCCAGTCAGGCTGGTGATGCATGCCTGGGGAAGCCACATTTAGTGACATTTCTCTCTCCACAGAGGGATGTGTCCCTTGCTCAGTCAGCAGTCTGCACCAAAGGCCAAACAACAGATCCATCCTTCCCTCAGTCCCCATAGGACAGTAGCATCTGTAAACCCCAGGAACACGCCACCATTTTTTCAATCTCATACCCCTGGTAGGCTGGGAACCAATCTCAGCCCCAACAAATCCACCTCAGCCTCCCAATGTTTATCCTGGCCTTGCTCACCGTTGCTTGTTGCTGGTGTCTCTCGGCAAAGCAAAGTATCTGTTTAGATGTTAAGAACGTAAACAATTGAGGAGAAGGAGAAACACTGGAGTCCGTGATCTGGCTACTTATGGCTGGAAGGGAACACCAGAGGGGCTGGGGGTGGGGCAGGCTACAGAATCACTGCTTAACCAGTTCTCCCTTGCCTCAGATCCTGGTTAAGGTCTCAGGTCACTCCCAACCTGTGCAGGGGGCTTACCACCTAGAATCCTTGCATGAGAAATGTGGTACCAAGCGCGTGCTTAAGCTGCTGTTCATGTGTCTCCCCATGGCCCCTAACCTGTCAGGCACATGTGGGAGTTTCTGGCCTGCTCCTAATCAAATGTGTGCTTTCTCTGGGAGAGGACCACGTATCCCGCCCACATCTGCAGGTAGCCATAGTCCTCTGTTGGAAGGCGGCGTCTCCGTCTGTCTGCTTGGATCCTCCCCAGGTATTAGGCATTTGGGTGATTTCCAGTTCTTTGCTGCTGAACATGCTGGTGCTGTGGAGATCACTAGCTGATATTTTTTTTTCCTCTGTGAGCTGATTTTGATGTGGTCCTTACAGGACAGAATTATGGGATGTGCAATCTGTAACATGGAGATCCATAGCTGGGGCAATTAGATTGCAAAGGCATCCCAAGGTTCCTAGATTCTCTGTGCTTCGGGAGCCCTGTCCTTAACTCAAAGCAGAAACTGTCCTCTTAGAAGGTGCCAGAGTATCCCTTGGGGCCCATTGCCCTGGCTCCACAGCCTAGGAGAAAGCAGCCAAAACACTGACACTCATGTGTCCTCTCTCTTGTAGAAAGTCTGCACCAAGTGCGGGATCGAGGCTTCCCCCGGCCAGAAGCGGCCCCTGTGGCTGTGTAAGATCTGCAGTGAGCAGAGAGAGGTAGGGATCCTGAAGAGGCTTGGGCTTGGGCAGGGCAGGGTGGATGGACCAGGGTGGAGCCAGGTTCACTAATATCGGGGTGCTGACAGGAACTTCTCCGGAGGGAAGATACGGAGGGAAGGTCACAAGGAGGACTACCCAGGGAAAGAGTGTGGAAAAGAAAACCTCCTGGCCTGCCTGTCCCCTTGCTGGCTGGTGTAGGGGTAAGCTCTGTAGAGTAAGCTCTGGTTTTGTGCTTTGGAGGCCTATGGTTTCTATGGGTAACCTCCCCTATTTATGGTTTCCAAGGGCAGCCTTCCCAGCTTAAGTGTCTTCTGAACATGTGGCACTATGACAAAGTGCTTACATCTGCCCATCCATTTCCCCTTTGACATCTCCCTCTGATGGGTGTCACCCCTTTCTTTGCCTCATAGGAAAACACCTAAAGCTAGATAACCTGTGTATACTGAGCTAACGGTGAGGGAGGTGGACTGGGTGTGAAGCCATAACCTGCCATGATGCCACCACCTAGAGTCCTTCTGGGGAAAATAAGTCACTCTTAGGGGCTGATGAAGCTTCTGGGGTGGCAGCAGATATGTTGGCAGAGCCTAGAATTGTTTTTCCTCACCCCAAGCCTGGGTTTTCCCCTCTGCCCAAGGCTGGGATGGAACCAGAACAGGCCAAGGCAGGCAGCTTCAGGCGAGGCAGAGTGAGCCACAGGAGCAGCAGGGCAGAGGGAGCCGCTAGCTCCCTGGAGTTGGTCTTGTTTTAGTTATTCTGCCTGGTACGTTTCATGTGCGTTTCCGACAATGCTTTCTATTCTGGAAAATTCCATCCCACCCCATCTTCCTCCTGGGCATCATATGTTTTCAAACTCCCCAGGCCATCCTCTGTTCCCCTAGATTCTTTGGCAATTCCTTTCACTGGGTCCTGAGTTCCTCCAGGCAGAGTCAGGCGTCCTGGGTGTGTGGAGAACCTGGGATCACACCCCAGCCCTGCTGTGTGTGCAGCTGCCCGCTCTCCTCCACTCTCCTCAAGCACCCTCTCTCACGTGTGCCTGCCTTGGGACCGGGTCCTGCTGTTTGCATCCCTCTCCCAGGTGAGAAGCCCTCTCGCTAGCTTCGTTTTTAGTGACTTGGCTGTCTAGTCAAGTCTGTGGTCCTCCACCTCCTGTGGGATCCTTTAAGTTCTCATATATAGGAAGACTAATCTCCCAGCTGTCTCCACCTGCTGTTGGGCACTGAGCTCCATAGGCAGCGCATTTGGATGCTCAAAATAGTAAGTAGCTAGGCGCGCTGACACACACCTGTAATCCTAACACTCAGGAGGAGGCAGGAGGATTGCACGTTGGAGGCTAGCCTAGACTACCTAGCAAAATTGTGTGTGTGTGTGTGTGTGTGTGTGTGTGTGTGTGTGTGTTGTGCGGCATGGTGTTGTGTGTGTGAGTGTGGTGTGTGTGTGTGTGTGTGTGCGTGTTTTAAGAGTAAGTAGTTTGAACCTCTGATCTACTGAGGTATAATCTTGGTTTTGTGTGCAGTCAAGCTTACATGTTGCTTTTAAAATATTTCCATCTGTCATTGCTGTGTGTCTGGAAAACAGAGGCAAGGCCTTGAAGTGCCATTTAGACCTGCCTGGAGGGCCTTTGTCCCACATGGTGACAATGATGGCCTTTCATGAACTGGCTGGGGGGTGGGGGTGTAGCAAGCTTACAACTGCCTCCCATTACATAAATGTTAGAGGCTGCCCCTTCCTCGCAGCCCACTCTTTAGCTAAGGTCTCTCCAGTCATCAAGGGACCCCTTTTAAGATACAGATAAGTAGCTGGGTGATGCTTTAATCCCAGCACCGGGAGGTAGAGGCAGGCTGATCTCAGTGAGTTCCAGGACAGCCAAGTTTACAGAATGAGTTCCAGGACAACCAGAGCAAATGGTGAGAGCTTGGAGAGACAGAGACAGAGACACAGAGACACAGAGAGAAACAGAGAGAGCGCACACTCAGATAAGCAAGGAGGACATTTTTCTACATAGTGTCTGGTAAAGAGACTTTGTGGGATGAAATACTGCTCACTGTGACCCGGGATGTTAGAGGACAATTGCAACAAGGAAAAGAGAGTGGATGGAAGGAAGGAAGATTCTGGATCAGCGTCCGAGTCACCAGCACACGCCTTAAAAGTCCTGAGCTCCTGGACATAGGGAGGGCCTCTACCAGCCCATTCTAATCTCTAGAGTGTCCCACTTCTGGAAAAGTCTGAAATAGCTTCAGATGAGTTTTCTTATCTTTCCTAAGGCAAAGAATATGAGGCTGTGCATTATGCTATCAACTTGTCCTTGAATCTTTAGGAGCCGATAAAGCTGAGCAAGATCAAAAAGGTCCCCTTCTGTGGCTCCAGGCAGCTATGCCCGGCCAGCCGCTTGCCGCACTCAGACAGGGTCATCATCTATGGGTGCCGTGCCCATATGCTGGAGTCTGCTGTATGCTTGGGGGGGGCAGGGCAACGGGTTTCCTAATACTTTTTTCTTTCTCTTCAAGAAATATCTAATCATAACAAAGAGATAGTTAGAGAGAAAGGACATTTAACATGCCAAGTTTTAAGCACTGAGCATAGCTGATTTGGAGACTCTGAGAGGAATTTGGAGTTGTGTCCCATGTCAGAGAGCAGATCATGACAGAAGAACTTGGGTTGCTGATGGATGCTCTCCCCCCGGGGCACTCATCTTTATCTGCTCCTGGCTAGCTTCCATCAGCCCTGGCTGTAATTGCAAGTCATTTCTCTCAAGTGGGTCAAATGTGGGCTGAATGTTCTAGAGTGGGCAGCTTGGTGTTACTGTCTGTCTGAGGCATGCGAGTAGCAATGTGAATCTCAGTCTGTCAGATTTTGAGTTTACAATCTAATCCATTCATTCACTTGGGCATTTGGTGTATATTTATTAAGCATCTTCCATGGGCCAGGTTAAACAGCTCTAATAATGAAAAAGTGATGGGGGGAGCCATAAACACAGGAAGGTACATCTATAACCTCAGATGGGGATAACGTGATCCAAGGAAATACTGGAAACAGTGGCCCCCATTCTTTACGGCAGCCAGGGAGGAGACCACCGATAAAATGACATTTGAGCAAAGAACTGAGGTATACTCTGCGGCCATGAAGGGAAAGCATTGCCGAGCATTGGGGAGATGCTTGTGTGCAAAGGCCCTGAGGGTGGATATGTGTTGAGAGACAGAGGGGCCAGGAGCTAGGTCAAGGTTAAAGAGAGGGGGTTAAAGATGCAGAGGGAGGTCAGGCTGTGGGAGGTCAGACTGTGGTAGCTTTGTGTGCCATTGCACAGACTTGGGCTGTCACAGCCAGAAAAACGGCAGGTCTTGGAGGATCTTGATTATTTCAGAGTGGCGTGTTCTGACCTCTTCTAAGGGATATTCTGGCTGCTGTAGTATATGAATTGTAGGTGGTTTATTCTGTTTTTAATATTGCTCAGAGTGTCCAAGTTATCTTGGTAGCCTAACAAGTTTTCATATGTGTGTATACACAAACCACACACACACACACACACCAGGGCATGCACTAGCTATGGTGGCATATACCTGTGATCCCAGCACTTGAGAAGTAGAGGCAGGGGGTTCAGAATTAAGGGCAGGCTAGGCTTTATGAAGCCCTGTCACAAAAAATAAATAAATAAATAAATAAATAAAATAAAATACGTTTTACTGGTTTTTTTAATTATTTATTTATTTTATGTATATATGAGTGCACTGCAGCTGTCTTCAGACACACCAGAAGAGGGCATCAGATCTCATTACAGATGGTTGTGAGCCACCATGTGGTTGCTGGGAATTGAACTCAGGACCTCTGGAAGAGCAGTCAATACTCTTAACCACTGAGCCATCTCACCAGCCCCGTTTTACTGTTTTAAAGTAACAAGTCATTGAATAATTACGGGGTGCTGACAGTACATAGAAGCATATAAAGAAATAGAAAGTCATGTCCCGACTCCCTAGAAACAACCACTACTGACATTTGGGTCACTACTTCCAACCTCCTCCTTGGTGTGGTCTGTTTGTTTTTTCCTCTAAGTTATTTCACAGTGTAATCAAAAACTCTGTGGAGATTCTGTCAAGTAGCTGTCCCTCCAATTTAAGACATGTAAGTTTTGTTTTGTTTTGTTTTGTTTTGTTTTGATTTTGGAGTTGGGTGTTTTGAGGCAGTATCTCATGTAGCCCAGGCTAGCTTCAAATATCCAATGTGGCTGAGATTAAGGATAACCTGAAGTATCTGATCCTGCTGCCTCCTCCATTTAAATGGTTTCCATTTTTTTTCTCTAGTAACTGTGTGTTGCCCTTTGCCTACATGACATTGCAGGGTGTGATGGACCTCCTGCCCTAATGCATGGGAAGCCAAGAGTCCATCACCACCCAGGGCCGTGTAGTATAGAGTACAGGTCACAGGGATTCCTAGGCCCAGAGAGACAACTCAAGGGATGAGAGGGCTCTATACAGCTAGGACATGGCTCTCTAGAATTGACTATTGGTATAGAAAAAAACAGTTATGAGCTGTCATGTGGGTGCTGGGAGTTGTACCCAGGTCCTCTGGAAGAGCAGGTAGTGCTCTTAACTGCTGAGCCATCTCTGCATCCCAGTTCACAATCTTTCATAACCCAGGCTCCTGGGGTTCTGACTCTCTAGAATTTGCAAGCACATGTGCCATGTGTGCATATCCGTACTCAATACATAGTTTAAGATAAAAAGCAATTATAAGAATCTTGACATCTACTCAGGAAGATGGTCACAACAGCATGCACCAATACTTCTAGCCACCCAAGAAGCTGAAGCAGGAGGATTGCTTAAGTCTAGAAGCTAAAGCCTTTCCTGAACACAGCAAGACTCCATCTCAAAGACAATTTCTACAGACGTTGGTGTCTAACAGGTCATAATAGAACTTATAGGAACTAGCCCGTAGCCAAGTCAAGCATGTGGTTATGACATAACTGCATCACCCTGTGTTCATTTTCTGTGCTGGCTGCTTTTATTCAAAGTTGTGATTCTGAAACTGAGCAAGTCGATGTATACAGATGTGTCTGTCCCACTGTCTCTAGTCTCCTGCTGTGGACCCCTCTCCCTTGAAATCTCCCTCTGTTCCTTTTCTCCCATTGGTGATTTCAGGGTCTCTGTTCCTTTGCTACTAGAAACAGTTCCTCCTAGCCACGCAGTTATCCCCAAGAATAGAGAAGAATGTATCTTTTGGGCCATGATACATGCCCATCTTTGACTTCATGTGATTTCCAGTTCTATTCCAGAGAAGCCAGCTGATGCTCTTATGGGCACAGGTCCCTCTCCAGCCACTTAGCTGCCACTCTCCTGGCTCCTGCCTCCAAAGCAGGCTCGGCTGCTGCCCTTCCCCCGCATTTCCATTCCTTCCCTTTCCGCCCAGGTCCACACAGCCTTCCCCGTGAGTT